ACAGAGTGGAGACATGGGAAGACATATTTGAGGACTGAGCTACCAAGCTCAAAAGATGGGGAAAAAAAGCAATTATTTACTAAAACCACTGAGATAGGAGAGTGGAAGAGATATGAAAACATAGTTCTATAAAATGACAGGCTTGGGCCTTCCTGGCACAGCAGGTTAAAGCACAGCACTAAGAAGCTAAAGCCACTTGAGCATGAGTTCGATCCCTGCCCCGGAGGTGACTCACATGGCGCGGCAGACCCCTCCTGACCCGCCCGCTGCTCCCCTCTACAGTGTACTTCGTCAGTCAGCCTGTTCTGCTCCCCACTCTGTCCCTGGTGAATCCTCTCACTGTCCTTCCTTGCACCTCTGGCCTGTACCCCAGTTTTGTATGCATAAATAAATAAATCTTAAAAAAAAAAAAGAAGAAGAAGAAGCTAAAGCCACTTCAGCATGATTTCAATTCCCAGCATTTCAATTCCCAGCCAGGGAGGTGACCCACATGGCGCTACAGACCTCTCCTGACCTGCCCATTGCTCCTCCCAGCAGTGAATTCATCAGTCAGCCTGTTCTGCTCCCCAACTCTGTCTCTGGCGAATCCTCTGACTGCCCCTGCAGCTTTGGCCTGTACCCCAGTTCTGGGTGCATAAATAAATAAATCTTTAAAATATATATATATCTACCATATAATCCAGCAATTCCACCATAGGTATCTACCCAAAGATATCAAAGCACTAATTCAAAGGGACATATGTAGTCCTAAGCTCACTGCAGCACTGTTTGCAACAGCAAGTCACAGAAACCAAAGTGCCCAAAGCAATTAAGTGGGTAAAGATCTTTTAGATACATATAAACACACGCATGTATGTGTTTTATAAATATACACATATATGCACACACAATGGAATACTCAGCTGTAAAACGAGATGAAATCTTGCCATTTGCAACATGTTTGAAAGGGAGAGGATAGTACTAAGGGAATAAATCGGAAGGAAAAATATAACTACCAGCTGATTTCATTCAGATGTGGACTATAAAGAAGCCTCCAAAAAGGAGCAGACAAATCTAAGACAAAACACAGCCTAGAACTCTGACTGCAGAGCTGAAACCAGCAGCGGGCCGGAGCACAGGGAGGGGAGGCCACCATTGGACCACGGCAGAGAGCTGTGGTGCTTTCACGTACATTAAACAGACATTTGGTGTGTGACATACATTTGAAAAGGTGTGAACTTCTACTCTGAAAACACAAGCTGTGTTGTAAACCAACATTATATTGTCAATAGAATAATAGTACTCTAGAAAAAGATGACCAGGGAATAGAAGCAAAAGGAGTTGAGAAGTTCTCTTTATCTGATGTAGGTAAAAGTAAGGTCTGTGTAAGAGAGGTGAGGAGAATCTGGTTTGCACTCACAATGCTCATAGTAGGTGCAAAGCGCAGAGTCACTTACTCCTATTCATTTTCCCTATTCCTCCCTCCTTTTTCTTCCCTTTCTATTACTTACCTCCTTTACCTCCCACCGCCCAATAGGTCTACCAAGCAAAACCATGTGCTTGTTTGGGGCTAGCAGAAGAGATGCATGGTAGTCTCTCTGTTGTCTCACCAGAGGATAAGGCCATTAAGAGGAAAAAGAGGAATAGAACTGGTTGTTCTTTCAGTGTCTCTTCAAAGATTAGCTTCATGGAACAGAGACGCAATAACAGAAACCACAAGAGACCTTGGAATGTCAAGGTGACATGCACATTCTAGTGACTGTGGCCTGAGACAGGCCGCAGTAGATACCATTGTGTCTCAATGATTAACTATCTAAAGAGCACCAGAGAGTTTTGTGGACTTGGGAGAGGATAACCACAGAGAAGGAAGGAATGCCATTAATTCCCAGCACCCTGGCTGGGTTTCCTATCACATGCAAAAACCTAACTCCAGTGGCTAAGACCTAAAGCTACACATTCTCCAAAACCCTATCAAATAATGCAGTAACACAAACTGAGAACAATGAGAATTAACTTATTTGAGTCATTACACCAATGCTCCCAAATCTTTTGAAAAATTTTATTCGTCTTTCACACTAAAACATCTTAGAGTAAACATCATTTATGCTACCACTGCATTGAAATTTCCCCTTTCAGTCATTCCTAACCCATCGTGTAAAACCAGTTCACAATTAATTCAGCGAACCCCTCCCTGTCAATGTGAGTACGATAGATCATCTGACTCCACAGAATTGTGGAACTCAATTAACTAATAAAGTATTGTGGTTCTCATGTAAGTACGTGATCAGGTGCACACTATTTTCTCCATATACACAAATACGGATGGAAATTCCCAACTTACACCAATGGTTTTGTGAAAGGTATTGCTCACCAAGTCAGTTCTTAAAATGTGAACACACATAGTCCTCTGAGTTATAAACCTGCTGAATTGTAAAAGCTCCATGGTGATTAGCATGTTGGGCACATATTGGGTATAATGCCATAGTAGGCACTTATAATCTTTTTTACAAAAAGTCCTTATTGTGACTGCTAAATTTAATCTTTAAAAAAGTTATGAAATAAGACCTCCCTGGGGGTGCAGGGGCTAAAAAGAGCCCTGTAAGTGACCGCCAGCAACTGCAGCACTAATTCAATTCAATTCAATTCTTTCCCCCCACCGGGGACGCTGACCCACGTGGCACAGCAGACCTCTCTTGTCTCACCCTCTGCTCCCCTCAGCAGTGTATTGCAATAGATCCACCTGTTCTGCCCCCCACTCTGTCTCTGGTGAGTCCTCTCATCACCATCACCCCTCTCCTCCACACCCTGACCCTCATGCCAGTTCTTGTGTGTATAAATAAATAAATCTTTCCAGAAGTTATTAAATAAATAAATGAAAGATACTGGTATACTTTATTCGATTGTGCAACTTATTTTTAAACTTGAAAAGTAAAATAAACGTCTGATTATAAGTCAGTAATGGAAATGACAGAGAGGTATTTCTTCACGGAAAGGATTAAACACAAACCATGGTGAGCTTCTCAGGGCAGTCCACAAAAGTCCTTTTACTTGTGCTCCACCTAAAACAGGAGCAGTAATCCTCAGGAACCCTTAGTTTCAGGGCATTAACATTAAACAGCAAAGCCATACCTCCATGAGGAGACATTCAGAGGTCCCTTTTGGGAAGCCCAAACCCCCTCTTCTGCCAATATAGTAGGGCTCCTTCTGCTCAACTCAGGCTGGAATTATAGCCATGGAGTGAGTTTGGGGAGGAGGGTTTCTGTGTTGGAGATTGAGATGGAAAAAGTAAGGAAAGTAAATACTCCACTTGTCTAGACTAGGAGGAAAGGTGGGCGAGGGTGAAGGTGTGGGGGACCCCAGAGAGCAGAGGTCTTGGGTGGAAGAAGGTAGGTGCTAAAAGAACATGGACAAGCAGTTTCTCATCACCTCTTCCCAGCTCTCCAAATTTCTTCTACTTCTTTCTTTTTACCCTCTTTGAAAGGATTTATGGGGAAAGGTTGAAAAGAATTGAAAAACTCTGATAGAGTCTCTGCAGTTAAAAGGGAAGGAGATGGAGAGGAAGCCACCAGAAAGAAGTAAAATGTAAGAGAGGCAGCATTCACACCAGCAGTGAGAGGGATCAGAATTCCCCTTATCTTGTCCCTGTGACTCATGCATGTACAGAGAAAAACAATTGCTACTGCTCTCAAAGGGAGAACAAATAGTAAATTAAGCTAAGAGTCCTTGTGAATGCTTTCATTATTAAAACTGCAAAGCAAAAAAAAAATTCAAAAAATGTATTTTTGTAATTCTGCTGGGTACAATGTCTTTACCAAAACACTGGAGTCCAAAATAAAAACATGTTCACATTTTTTAATAATTGGTACGACTCAAGTTCTATCACAGAAATGCAGATTCAGTGAGCAATTTTAAGCAAGGCAGCTTACGTCACATAATTATGCATCCTTGAAACAAAATTACATCCAGAACTAATTCACCAATCAATTCTCTTTTCCCACCTGCTACAGATGTGAACTGGAAGGCATGCTTCAGTCCTAATATAAACCCAACCTGAGAAAGTATACCTCTTCCTACGTTAAGCTACATATGTTATCACTCTTTGAAATAATCAATTTGATACACTTTGAAATTCAAAATATAAGAATGTGAATTTTTTTCAAACAATGTTCTGGGGTTGGTAGCTCTTTCCACACATTTTCTCAATAATAAATTTAACTCACATTCTTCAAATTCCACACAAGTAGAATCTTTTCCTATTATGTTTTTTTTTCCTAGAGGGACCTAATTGGTCCTGCTGAGCATAAACAATCCATGAGAAGAAATGGAGAAAGCGGTGGGCTCCTCTGTGCTGTGCAATCCTATTCTGCCAGCCATTTCTTCCTAACTTTATGGGTGTCAGAATGGGAAGAGGGGAAGTTAGAGCTAGTGGCCAGTATGCTGTCTGGGTTTAACTACCATTGGCTCTGTTTCACTGGGACCTATAAGGGTGTTGTTTTGACTTGGTTTTTCATCCACAAACTAAGGTGTATGTCCCACAGAATATCTGAAAATTGCACTGGCATTTCAGACACTATGTGGCAGCCTATCTTCTGACCATTTCACAAGGCTCCAGGGCAATCTTCTTGCAAGCTTTTGCTGACACTGCTCAAGGGAACTTTAAAGCAAGTTGACAAGAAGGGCTCTTTGGAAAATCCCAGGCCCAGGCAGACCACCTGGCTATTCAGACTGTAAGCTGTTGGCAGCCAGCGAGGACAGAGGATGAAGTTTTGGTAAAGATTTGTGTCACCGTACTCAGAATCTCATTCCCTCTGACAGGGAAAAATTCTCTGGATTTCAACCTAATAATACAGCTAGAAAATTGGAAAAGAATACCATGTAGGGTCTAATCCTACATGCCCTAAGAGATCCGCTCAGTTTCTTTGCTTCTGGTAATCTGATGCATGCTAAATTTCCAAGACATACCATCCAAAACACAAAAAATGGTTATGTCATTTAAGCCGTCAAAATATTGCTTGCATTACCTCTGTATTTACAGTTTCCATTGGTCTTTTCTTGATTTCTCCTATGTCCAAGTAACTGGGGGGAAAAAACAATAAAGATATCATCTTTAGCTTTTGAGGCAATTTTATAAATTTTAAAAAATTATTGAATAGTAAAGCAAACCATAGGAAACGCCTAAGATCAAAGCAAAACTCAGTAGCCACTAATTGAAAGCAATCATAATAGTACCAACTACGTTCAGCATCACCAGCCAGAAGTAAACCATGTCTACTCTAAACCTGTACTGGGGAAACACTCCCCGCCCCTCACTACCCCTCTATAGATTAGCTACTTGCTATCTACAAGGAACTTGTAATTCTTCTATCAAGTTTGTTAAAAAGAGTGGTTTGTGGTATAAGCTGTTTAACAATTCCATTAATCATAGATTTAGGTCAGAGACAGTACTGTTAGCATGCACTACAATAACAGTTCTAAAAGGCTTGGAAATCTTTTTCCCTGTGAGAGTACTTGAATGCTACAGAAACACTTAACCATGTGAGATGGTTTAGTTACTGGCTCAGCTAAGAGGCAGGTGAGTGTATGAGTTAACCTCTTGAGACCTCTATTACTCCATTCCTATTTGCTACAGATAGATTAACTAGTGATCATTCTTTAACCACAGCATAAGCACAAGCTGAAACCGTTATATCTTTGTCAAGTTCAAGCTTTAAGTGCATCATTGTAACCTAGGGATGACCTTCATACACAGAAGGTGCTAAATAAATGCTGTAATATTAAAAATATGCATAAGTGAACATCTAATCTATAACCATAGACAGAAGAATTAATTAACTAATTCATTCTCTACCTCAACAACCATAATTGCTAAGTTGCCAAAAAAAAATGTTAGCATTAATTTTGGCTATTGAGGTTATCTTTACCTGTTGTTTGATTTTTTTGGACACAAGAATTTAACAGATATTTCTGGGAATAATCCTGCATTTCCCTTTCATAAACAGTATTTTACATAGTTTAAGTATTCCCTCTGCTCAACAATAAAACGAGTCTTGCAAATCTAATGATTTCTTATATATTATCAAAGTATCCTAACTGTCATGATCAGGTAGGTATCTCTGCTCCACAAGGTTAATGTAGTCAACCTCCCAAAATGCACACAGAAATTTTGGGGGGAAATAACCCCCTCTAGAATTTGCTATGTAAAATAAAATTTTAATAGCTATCTAAAACAGTTTCAAAACCATTAGAATAAAACTTAAGTAAAAACAGTTCAAGTAGGAAGTTGATCATTACTATTTGAAAATTGTTATACCACAGCTCTTTCCCAACATCATTTAAAGTCTAAATGACACAAATCCCCTCAATAATTTTTGAGCTTCCTTTTGTTGTTTTTTTTATTGCTTCATTTATATAGCATTATAACTGCTAGGTTTCAAATATATTCATCATTTAGGTCTTCTTGGAACCTATCATTAACACAAATAAATAAACTATTCATCAATCAGCATGGAAAATTAATCACAGACATTTTTATAACAAACTCAGTTATTTTTGTGTATATGAACTAAAAGCAAAAATAGCCATGCAAGTTTCTTATATGCATAAAGAAAACTTTAAAGTACACTATTTGGTATGGAACTGTACCATACCAAATTAAAGAGATTATGAATCTGCAACTTTGAGCTCTTCATAAATTTGAAGTAAATTCCATTCCCATGAAAGTGTTTTACATAGAAATTATTTAATAATGAAATGTATGATGGAAGGAACAGAACCTAAATGAGATTTGCATTTATCTAGCATAGATGATTTGCTTTTTACAAAATCCCTGTTAGGCAGGGATGGTTTTGTGCCTTTTTTAAATTAGGTAATTGTGGCAAGTGGCTTTTCCAAGGACACGGAGCTAGTAAGAAGCTCCATCTCAACCGTCCTGATTTTCAGCTTTAAGTTCTAACTTTCTTTAAAGCACATGGTTTTGTTTGGTTCGTTTTCTAAAAAGTTAGATAAAGCCTAGTGAAAGTCATTTCAGCCCCCCAAATACATCCCTCATCCTCACATAAAAAGAATGTCTGACGTAACAAAGGACAGAACAGCCCTTGGGAGGGGAAGGATGAGGTGAGACAACTTTAATGAGATTTGGGAAGATATATTTAAAGAATTAAAATCAGAATACACAAGCAGAGGTTTTATTGTAAAGATGTACTTTTACGAGCTTGAGGTCCAAGCTGAATTTTAAATTAAAATATCACGTTAAATGCTATGAAATATTGAGTTACTCTATAACCAGTAGTTCCACTCGGAGGTATCTACCCAAGAGAAATGAAACCTTGTACTATGACTCTTCAAAGCAGCAATATTTCTAATAGCCAAGAGTGCAACATCTCCAACCATCAAGCAACACATGGATGTACAAAATGTGCCATGTCTAAACCATGGAGTATTATTCAACAATAAAAAAATAAAGGACTGATACATGCTACATGGAAAAGCCTTGAAAACACTGTGCTAAATGAAAGAAGCCCGAAACACAGGTGAGACACTGTCTGATTCCACTGACCTGAAATTGCCAGAATCGATATGTCCATAAAAGTAGAGTAGGTTAATGATTATCAAAGGAGAGGAGAAGTAAGTAGGGGTTTCTTTTTGGAGTAATGGAAATGTTCTAAAGTTCTAAAGTGATAAAAATTACACATGGCATAGGAAATTCAATAGACTTACAATAGCCACCTGTTAGTCTAAGCAGAACGAATCTCTCTCAACTCTGAACTCCTATGTCACTTTATTTTTCTAATTACACCTATGCCTTTACCCTTTCCATGAAAATGATTGTGTTGCATGTAGTCTGGTTCCTGTAAGACTATAAACTCCTAAAGACAAGGAGTCAAGGTTTGTTAATTTTTGTTCTCCTCAAAGACAACCAGTTTGCTAACTCATTGAACACCTACTATGAATGTGAACCTCCTGCCAGGGAACTGGAAATAAACACCAACCAATGATGCCCTCAAAGATGGAGCCATCAAATAATTGGAGATAAGCAAGTAGAAAAATACAGTACACGAATAAATTCGCCCAAGTCTTATGTCAGCAGCATAAATATGCAGAGGGTAGGCGATGCGTCCCAACAGCCAGACATGATCAACTCTACCTTGAATCCAAGAATGAATTTATCCAATAGGGAGAAATGCAGAGAGCAATTTTCTCCTCTGGTGATTACAGAGTATAGTATTCCACACTGCAAGGTGATTTTAGAATCCAAAACTACTTCCAAGAGAAAGGGAAGGGAGAGAGAAAAAACAGATGAAAGAGAAAAAGCAGAATAGAAAATGCAAAGGTTTTGGCTTGGTCACTGAATACCTTTTATTTGTAAGATTCTTGTTCCTAAAACACTAATGTTAGGCCTGTTTGACGTTTAACTGCTACACAAGTGAAACTGTTCCTCTGGTCACACTTTCAACTTTGAAATTCAAGCAGGAGAACTCACTAAGAGGTCTAGACCCTCCTAGTCACATTCTCTCAACCCATTGAGATGTGTGTGTGTTGGGGGGTTGGGGGGGGTCATTCCTTTCCTGCTGCCAGCCTCACACTTTCGAGCACCCTGAAATAGTGGACGGTGGGCACAAACGGACTCACTTGAGTTTCTTGAAGGCTTCCTGGCCGCCAGCCACGTAGTTGCCCCCACTTTGGATCTGGTCGAGCTTCCGGATGCGATGCCCGGTGCGCGGGGTGTAGATGTTCCTGACCGCCCCAAAGGGTGCCTGGACGCCGCCAGTCACCTCTTTCAGGAAGACGTCGAAACTGGACACCTTCTTCTCATGGAAGACCACGCGACGACCCGCAAAGAAGGGGTCTCCGTTGCGGTACACCAACACGCTCTTCACCACGGGCTGAGACAGGTGGCTGGACTTGGCGCTGGTGCTGCTCATCTTTCCCGCGGGACGCCGCCGGGGCTCGCTTCACGCCAGGAGGGACCTGGGCTGCCCGGGCCGCCTCTCGGGACACACTGCGCGGGGTCGCCTCCTGGAACCAACAGGAAACAGACCAGCCCGCAGGTGAGAGCCCCGAGAAGACCGTGCGCCCGGCGTGCACCCCGCGGAGACCCTTCAGGCTGCGGGCTCCCCGGGCACGCACGTTCAAGTATTTGACCCAGGTCTGCAACAGCCAATCAGCGCTGGCCTTGCGCGCACACACCTGTTTCACACGCTACCGGCACAGTCGAGGTGTGCCCACCCCGCGGCAGAGCGCAGGGGGCTTTAAAGAGGCAGGCCGAGGGGGCGCTGGAGCTAGAGTGGCGGAAAACACCCCCCACACACACACACAGACAGCGCGCACACACATGCACAAACTATAAATATGACGAAACTCGATTTCTAACATACTTAGGCTCCTCTTTTCTCTCCGTGCTGCCTCACTGTTCAATCCCCAGCTTGCACCCCCAAATTAAAGCTCTTAAGGTGTGGCCGTAATGGCTCAGGTTTGTTTCTTTTTCCGGAAAAATAAATACCTACGGTGCACTGAGACAGACAAGAATCCAGGGTCCGGGACCCCTAGAGCCCTCCCGACTGCGAAGCTGGGTGGACGTAGTTTGAATCCCTCCGGCAGCGGTGCGCAACCAAGCCCCAGGGCAGCGGGGGGGGGGGGGCAGTGGGTGGGATCACCTGGGAGGCACCCGCCCCGGAGACCTACCAACACTCCAGGGGTGGTGGGGGCTCTGGCCAGGAGGGGCGGGGGTGGGGCGGGAGCGCGGGGCTCAGGCTCCGCCCGCACCGCGGTGAACTTGAGGGCCAGCGTACCTCCCGCTGTTCCTCCCACTGCCGTTGCCTCTGCGGGCCTCTCTCACCCCGGGGGGAACGGAGTTGTTATTTCCCGCCGTTTCCATAGCAACTGCAGCCACGCGCAGGGAGCCGAGTCCGTGAACTAGGCCTAGAGCGCGCCTGGGTCTGGGTCCCCCGGGCATTGCCCTGCTCCTGGGCAGAGCAATGAAAAGAATTGAGGGGCTGGAGGGCCCATGGAGAAGCACGATGGCAGTCTACAAACAGACGCCTACATGTGCCAGGCAGTGCTAGAAGCTGGGGGTGCGGCAGTCAATAAAATGACCTACAATATTTTGAATATCTACCACATGTCTAGCTTTATGCCCGAAAAGAACTTTTCCTACTGTCCCAAGAAGGCTAATTGGCAAAAGGCCATCTGTGCCTAACAGCCCATATTCTTGCAGTGTGTGCATGAGATCAGTGTGTAGGTGAAGGAGCTTTCAAAATACTAAGAACTTCAGTGAGAGATACTTGGTCCGATACAATTTGGGAAACATTGTGGCACCAAGAAAATTCACTTTAAAAGTTGAAATCTTCCAGTTTATCTCTGCCAGGATTCCCTTGATTTCTCCTAAGACTTACCAGTGTGTCCTTTTCAAACTTCATTACAGGGTGTTCCTAATTCATCAGATATGAATAAAATTAATGTTGTTAATAACTATCATTAAGCGAACACCTACCATTGTGTGGGCACATTACATAGATTACTTAGTGCTCCTAATAACCTTCAGAAATAAATTTCTTTCTTTCCTCTAATGAGGAAATTGAGGTGTAGAGAAAGCAAAGAAACAAAATTTAGGTCACAGAAAAAATTCACTCACAGAAAATTTTCTGTGATTCAAGACTCTTTGACCAACATGTCCTGACAATCTGAAAAGTGAATGTGTGGGACATCACAATCTGAGGCAGAGGGAATTTTACTGAAGTCATTCAATACAGCAATGCCTTAAAGCTAAAAGATCTTGGGGGAAAAAAAGGCAAAGAAATAGAAAGAAATAGAAGAAAGAATTGCTAAGTTGGCTGTGAAGAATATATAGGTTGAGAGGATGAAAGGGGAAAATATCTGTGCAAATACACTACCAGGTAGGTGAATAAAATCAAATATGTGTTTTGAGGGATGTAGGAAGTAAATCAAGCAGTCCCCCAAACTTCCTTACTGTCTGTGCCAACCCAGTGCAAAATAAAAGTGTGTGGTCACTTCAAAAAGTAAGATCATGAAGATGGTGAAGGCAGAACATTAAATCAACCATGGAGAACTCCTAAGCTTGGGATACTATTGCCATCTCATGAAGTCACCCCTCGTCTTTATTCTGATGCCCCACAACAGTATCTGCAGCCTAGATTTGTATCCTGAGCCCAAAATCATACATCCAATTGCCTCTTGGACAGTGACGTGATGATAAATGCTTAACTATTAGATCTCAGGGCATGGAAGGTCTTGATTTCTAGCTTTTGCCAATGTGTGTAGTTTAGTTTTGTAAACATGGTCTATTTCCAGCTACCAATCTTCTATCAATGAAGGCAAGAGATTCACAGTAACACAGCATTATATGATATTTCTATCACACAGATACAGTAGACATATGACTTCACAGGTAAAATGTCAGTAGTGATGAGTTTTAACAATTTGTTTTATGTAATGTGTTTGATTTGTAATAATATCATGTTTAAAATGGCTGAGAATTTAACAATTGACTTTTGTAAGCCAGTACACATTGGTTTTCAGCACACTGTTGGTCCTAAAAGCTGGTCTATGAGAAAGCAGTCCAGGCACAAATTTTACACATGATCTCATGTTTTCCTCAACATCTTCTTTTCCTATGTTCCCTGTCTCCATAAATAGACATCCCCACAATGACCAATTTGTTCAAAATTGAAACCTATTTCTCTTCCTCAAAACACAGTCATAGAGTATATATTATCTATGCATATGTTGCTTGCAGAATTCCTTTTGGAACTCTCATGCAGAACCGCAACACTGAGCAAAGGGAGACATCTTTAAGAATCAGAAAGGTTAAATGGTCCTTGGTGGAGAAGAGTTGAGGAAGAATGTGAAGCCACTTCAGATGAATGCTGGGGAATGTTTGAGCACACAAAGAATGTGAGGAAGCAGTTTTGTTTTTAAGCTTCTTCCTAGGTGTATAAAATACACAGAGTGAGAGAGACTGCAAAAGAAGATATTAGATTATTAATATAGTTTTACTGTGCATTAAAAATACCATAAAAGCATTTGACATTTCCTCAATTTTACCTGAGTAAAATTTTAACGTAACCCTTGCGATTAAAGGGTTCCTTGGGCAATCAGCAAGTTCTTTCAATTCTACCTCTCAAATAATGAACCAGCTCACTTATCTCCAAATCTATTTCTACTTTCTGAATTCAGGGCACCATCATTCCCGTAAAGACCACCTGGTCTCCCATTTTGCTTCTCCACTGCCCTGTCCATTCTATACAGAACACTCAGCCAGAAAGAATATTGAAAAACACAAATCTATTCCGCCACTTCCAGCTGAAACTTTTCTTACGATAAAATCTAACATCAGCTAACATTGATTACAAAACTCTGGATATGGTGGCCTTACTGCTGTCTTTCCTGACTCTTCTCACATGACTCTCCCTATGACTTTGCAGAAGACTTAGCCTTTCATTTCCTTGCGTAGTTCTTTGAACACACTTTGTGGCTTCTTATCCCCATTGTCATTGATTTGGCTTCTTCCAACTCTTCAGGTGTGCCTCATATTGTAGTAGATTCAAGTAGGAAACTTAAATCCCATTTCCCCAGTGAAACATTTATATCTCATGCACCAGATCAAAATAAACTGATACCTTGTACTTCTCTTCCATCATTCTTATCAGTTGTCATTGTAAGCCTTTGTGGAATTAAATCTTTATATGAATAAACTTCCTAAGGGAAAGAACTGTGCCCACTTTATAAATTAACATATCCCCAGCATCTAACAAAGATGATGGCACATAGCAAGTACTAAACAATTATTTGATGAATGAATGAATGCAAACTATATTGAGTTGAAAATTAAGAAAAAGCTTTCAAAGATGTAAGAAGTGCTCCTGTTAAAGAAAACAGATTCTCATATTAGCAAATAAAAAAAGAACTTGACAATTAAAGGGATTTGAAAATTAATTGCTTAGCTACAGCCAAAAAAGATCCACCACTGATGCTGAGACAAGCCACCTACACGAGGAACCAGAGTTTCTAACCCAGCATTGAGTTTCCAATAGTCTGTCATGGCAATAAAGATTTTTATGAAACATGGGGCATATTTCAGAAGTTTTCCTTCGAAGATCATCATCATTCTTACTATTTGTGTTCATAGCTCAAATTTAGAAAGAGTAAGAACTCTTTAGTTCTTAATCATAGTTCAACATAAACTATGCTATATGGACGCTTGGATAATGGTTCTGGTAGCCTTCATCAGATCAGGCAATGGCCAAACTCTTTCACATCCATGTACTAGGCTGCCTATCCCAGTCAGCCATATTTAAAGTGCTTAGCTATCTACTCAAAGAATACAAATTTAAAGAAATACGGATTCATGTTCACATGAACATGCATTTTCATGTTCATTGCAGCACCATTTACAAAAGCCAAACTATGGGAACAACCTAAGTGCCCAAAATCAGATGAGTGGAGCAGGAAGATGTGTTCTATATACATGGTGGAATACTATTCAGCCATCAAAAAGATATATTTATGCCATTTGCAGTGACATGGATGGAGCTGAAAAAGGTTAGGTTAAGTGACATAAGTCATAAAGAGAAAGACAAATATCATATGGTGTCACTTATATGTGGACTAAATATAAACCAAAGGGTAAGGTAAAACCAAATTAAAAAACTAACCCTGGAAAACTGACTACAGAAATTGGGCATAACAAAGAGGGAGGGGAAAGGATGAGGGCAAAGTAGAGAGGGAAGACAATGGACTATAGTAGTGGACTATGGGTGCTTGGATGATGGGTGTGCTAGACAACACCTAAAGGGACATCTTATACTTCTTTAACACAAACCAGCACATAAGCCATATCTCAATGAAAATTTTAAAACTAAAATTAAAGTAACTGAAAATGACTATAAGCGGAACCAACCTCATC